TGTATATATAAAATGATATTAAAATCTAATAATTTAATATAAATCATATATTTAAATTTTAATACCTTTTTTCTTTGTGACCTTGGACAAGTTATTCAATTTTTTTCATCAGTGTTTCATGGATATCATATAAAAGAAAGAACAATCAAACCTATAAGAGTGATGAGATTAATCTAAGACAGAGTATGATTCCTTAATTTGAGATACCTCCCTGTCTTAGGTACCTCCTAGATACCTGTGAAACCTTTCAAGTTGCTGATAAATGGGTCTGAAGGTACAAGGCTAAATTCCTCAAATATTTTTTTCAGCTCCAAATTAGTAAATGTTAGTTTATAAGAAACAGGAACAGGAAATATCACTTCAGTAAGTAATAAAGATAACATAGGTTTTACAAATATACCCAGAAAATAATATTTTATGACATAAACTCTATTCAGAGATGGTTTATTTTTAATAGGAATTATAACTAATGTTGCAGTCATAAGGATAATAGTAATCAAAATCTAGTTTGGTTTTTCCTAAAAAGCAGTTCCATTCTATTATTATCATGTTAAGTGATATAGTTCCGAGAGTCAGTCAGTCACTGTCTTCCCATTGTTCATGGATTTGCTCGAGCGGGCCCAGTAACGTCTCCATTGTGAGACTTGTTGTTACTGTGTTTGGCATATCAAATACGTCAAGGGGAGCTTGCCAGGCTCTGCTGTGTGGGCGAGATACTCTCCGTAGCTTGCCGGGCTCTCCGAGAGGAGCGGAGGAATTGAACTCAGGATAGTTCTGAGAGTACTAGACCAAGACATAGAAATTATTTTAAAAAATTGAGAGGACGTCTTTCAATAAGGTGTTCTCCTCCAAAACATATTCCTGTATCTTTCAGAATATGGTAGCAGATAATAGCACTGTAACACTGTCCTCCTATTGTTCATCAATTTGCTCAAAGCGGCACCACTAACATCTCCATTGTGAGACTTGTTGTTACTGTTTTTGGCATATCAAATATACCACGGGGAGCTTGCCAGGCTCTGCTGTGCAGGTGAGATGCTCTTGGTAGCTTGCTAGGCTCTCTGAAGGTACGGAGGAATTGAACCCCGGTCAGCCTCATGCAAGGCAAGTGCCCTACCTGCTGTGCTATCGCTCCAGCCCAGCAGACAATAAAATACTACAAATTGACTATACTTCTTCAGTTTGAGGTTTAAAAGGTCATTTGTGGAAATTTTGCAATGTTATATATCTCATCCTCAGCTATAGCTGAGTCTCTTTCTTATTTTCTTTCTCTTTTGCACATACTAAAACTTGGATCTAACCTATTATCTACCATGCTGATAAAACTTATAGCATGGCTAAGGAACATGACAAAAATAATCTGAGACCCTGAATGGTCACATGAAGTAGAGAAGTCTGATGCTTGGAAGCATCTGTCACTGTCACTGTCACTGTCCTCCCGTTCATCGATTTGCTTGAGCGGGTCCAGTAACATCTCCATTGGAGACTTTGTTGTTACTGTGTTTGGCATATTGAATACATCACGAGTAGCTTGCCAGGCTCTGCTATGCGGGCGAAATACTCTCGGTGGCTTGCCGGGCTCTCCGAGAGGGGCGGAGGAATCAAACTTGGGTCGGCCACGTTGGCTGCGTGCAAGGCAAACGCCCTACTGCTGAGCTATCGCTCCTGCCCTGTGCTATGGAAGCATCTAAAATAGGAATATAATATACTAAGGGGGAAAAGGGAACTTCTTTGCATTTAGTATTTCCTGAATTGTCGAATCTCTTATTAGCATGGGTCTTAAGGATAATTAAATAAAATGCCATTAATTTTGAAACACAATAAAGGTTTTATACTTAGAAAAGTGAAATTAAAGATTGAGGAGACATGAAAAATGAAAAGTCAAGAATGGATAACTGTTGAGATTTCCCCCTCAATGAATTTGATTATTTTTTTGAGGGTTGGATGCACCTACACCGGACAGTGTTCAAGGGACCACGCAGGGTGGCCTTACAATCAGGAATCACTTCAAGCTCTGGGGATCACGTGCCAAACTGGGGATTGAATCCAGATCAGTGTTTTCCATTGTCTGTAATAATTCCATTGCACATTATATTGTCTATATCAGACATGTCTCAAGAAAAACAGGTTTCCAATTTATAACTGCAATTATCACCATTATCAGCAAATATTAAATATTTTCAATCATGAAGACTGTGACAAATTTTCCGTGAAAATCCTTCTGTTTAGCAGTATAAAAAATAGTCTGATATCAGAATATTATGTAATTTTAATACATAATTAAACAGTTTAGCTAAACTTTATATATATAATAAAATCTATCAAATAATTCATTTCATTGTGACAATATTCATGAATTGACAACCCCTATATATCTAAAACTATTTAAATGAGACCGAGAAGAGCTTTAAATATTCATAAGAACTGTCTATTTTGGGGCATAGGGGTGCACACATAGTGATGCTAAGGACTTACTCCTGGATCTTTGTTCAGCTGTCAGTCCTGGCTGGGATCGGGGGACCATATGAGCTGCTGAGGATCTAACCTGGTTCTGTCACATGGGAGCCCTGATCACTGTACTATCTCCAGCTCCAGGGCATTTTGTCTTGTGATCAAAAAGCACTCATTTTTAAATTTGTTAATATGGCAGAAGATGAAGTATATATTTCTTGGGAAACAGCCGTAGTATTTTGCTGATTTTAAAAAGTCAATGCTCACTGAATTTATTTGCTAAGAAAACTGTTTCCGGCATGCTATTATAAATTATAACTGATCTTTTCATTGTACAACATATCTGAAATTATGAAAATAAAATGTCATTGCAAAAAGTTATCCACAGTTTTTATTGAAGAGCAAACTTGTCTAAAATCAATATTACCACTTATTCAAAAAGTACACCTTTTGATATAACATTTCTCTCGTATTACTGCATTTATTATTTAATAGTAGGGAAAAATTTTAAAGTAGAAATAAGTGAAGTTTACCTCCTTGTGAAGGGTTTTGCAAGCTTCAGAATTTTTAACACTTTTCAGAAAAATGTTTAAAAAAATTTCACATTTCTGTGTGTGCTTCATTACTTTACAATTTCTTCCACAAACCAATTGCTTTAAAAACAAAAAGGATTTTTGGAAAATATATAAACTATGTATTTTCTTAATTGTTAAGTATCTTCAATGTTAACACAACTGGCAAATATTTTTATTATGTTGCAAGAGTGAAGAATGTCAACTTATTTAATATGGACACATTTCTACTCATAAAGCCACTTTTTAGGGAAAAATAAGCAAGGGAAAATGTCAATAAAACAAATCATTTATATTCCACATTGTGGATTTTGATTCTTGATGAGCATGTATTTGAAGTAGCATCAGCATATAGCATCCCAATAATTTTTTTCCATAACATCTTGAGGTAGATGTTTGCTAATAAGAATAGTAGAGAGAGATCAACTAAACCCCAAATTGTAGTTGATTTAGGCATACGTTCTTTTCACCTGTTCTTCTGTATCTACTGACTTCTTAAAACTTTTCCTATCAGAAAATCGGAACATTTTCATATACATACCTATTCGTACAGTGTATCTTATAATTCTCATAGGGCAAGATTTTAATATCCACAATTAGATTTAAGCAAAAATGTATCGTGTCTTCAAAAACCAGAACTACAAAATACACTCAAAAATATTTTTGCCTCTTAAGTGTGCTATATATTTTAAACTTTTGGAACATACCACAACTGAAACAAAAACTCACAGCTTTTTTTTTTCTAAATGTAATAATAAACTATTACGGCTCTTTTTCCCAAATCCTTTTTCCATCACTTAAACCCATATCTGCTCTTAAACCCACGGTTTTTAGCAAATTCAATGGTATCCTCTCCACTTACAGGCGGAGTGCTATAAACACAGTGTGCTGTATGTGATTTGTGGTTAAAAATCGATTACCTTTTTCGCCACAAAGTCACAAGGTGGACCCTACACTTCTTTTGGAGTTTTCGATACATAAACTATTAACAATTTCTGAAAAATGTATGAATTATCCCAAAGACAGCAGAGTTGCTACACGCCTACTACACTGTCCTTGATCTAATGAACTATCTATACTATTTACTCTTTAGATTTAAAACTGTTTCATAAGACAAGAAAATTTGTTTTCAAAGGTTTAAACAAAATCAGATACAGAAACTAAGCCACGTACGAACTTCCTAAGAAACATCCGTTCAAAAAAAAAAAACTGTACCCACTTCAAAGAAATCAAACGATGACTTTAGGTTCTTTGCATGAACTCTATTTATTTACCAATTCGATAAATCACTTAGAGACAAACACTAAAAAATAAAATAAAAATCCCTTCCGCAAGAGGTGGGTGCGAGGGCAAACAAAGTGGTATATATTAAATGTAAACCGCCTGGAACCAGAGGTGGATGGGTTTCAAAGTTATAAATTACACTTTGGGATCTTAAAACAGAAAAGCACAACTAATACTTGAGAGGATATCCAAGGAATACGGATTTATAAAAACAAATCTGTATAAATGTTGGCCACACACACACAAACACAAAGGTCATGTTCGGAGGCGTCAGGGGCAGTGAAGTGTGAACAACAAAACTCCACGACTCCCAAACTCTTGGCCCAAGCCTCCAAGAACCACAACCAGGAGGGGAGCCCCTTATCAAGTCTTCCGCACACTGGGCCCCAGCCAGGGAGGAGGAAAACTGGAACCCCAGTTCCGGCACGCTTAGTGAGACCCGCCCCTCTGACGCGGGGCCGATCTCCAAGGAAACCAGGGCCGGCGAGGCCTGGCTCCCAGCTAGAGGTGGCGCTTGGGATTTCCGCCCTGGAGTGCCCGTGCAGGCCCAAAGCCTGGGCGCCTCCCGGAAGTGTTGGTAAACCGGGCCGGGACGCCGAAAGGCCGAGGACCATAGTCTGCGCCCGCCGCGCGGCTGGGGCTGGGGGGCGGAGCCTGAGCCAGGCCACGCCCCTTCCCTCTCAGCTGCGGCCTCGGGCTACAGCCCCGACTCCTGGGGCTCCTCCGACGCCGGCTCCGGGCCCGGAGGGCTCGGGGCGGCTTCGAGCTGCGGTGGCGGCTCCTCCTTGTCGTCACGCGAGTGCGGCCCACGCTGCTCCAGATGCAGTTGCAGCAGCGCCCGGCGGTACATGGCCTCCAGCTTTTCCAGGCGGGCCCTCAAGGCCCTGGCGGTGATGAGCTCCTCCTCGGAGCCGCCGCCGCCGCCTCCGCCGCCTCCGCCTCCTCCTCGTGCCGGCCTGTGGTTCGTTCTGGCCTCCTCGCAGCCCGCGGCCGCCGCGTCGTCGTCGCCGCCACCGCCTCCGTCGCCGGACAGCCGCAGCGCCTGGCGGAAGAGACTGCGGTTCTCGCGCTTGAGCCGCCGGTTCTCGAGCCGCAGCCGGGCGTTCTCCTCGCGGAGTCGCGCGTTCTGCCGGTCCCGCTCGTCCCGCGCGCGGATGGCCTCCAGGTGGCTAGCGGCCAGGTCGGCGAACCGCTCCTCCAGCTGCTGTCGGGCGCCGCCCGCCCGGCCGCACCAGCCCACGCCGCCGCCGCAGCCGCAGCCGCCGCCTCGGAGCCGAGCCGGGCGGCCCAGGCCCCGGCCGGCCGCGCCGCCTAAGGCCCCACCGCCGCCGCAGCCGCCGCCGCGCCCGTGCCGGCTGGCGCCACCACGCATGCGCCACATGGCTCCGTTCCGCCGCCGGCCGAGGGGGCCTCACGCCGAGGCTCGGGCGAGTTCGGGGCCCGGCGGGGAGGCCGGGGCCACGACGGGAGAGGAGCGGAGGCGGCGGCTGGCCCGGCGCCAGAGGAGGCCGGGAATGTGCCGCGGCTGAGGCGTGTCTCGTCTCCAGCGGTTGGAGCTGCCCCCGGCAGCTGCCGGGGCCTGCGGTCTCCGGGCCCGACGCACACACAATCCCCCACACCCCCCCACGGGAGCGCTCGGCCGCCGCCGCGCCCGCCGCCAGCGCGAGGGGTGGGGGGGCGGGGGGCGCGTCCAGCCGCGGGGTTCTGCCCGGGGCGCCTCCATCAACCCTGGGCGCTGCGGCAACCTGCGGCCTCACCCCGCTCGCCAGCAGCCACCCTGCCTGGCTCTTCGCAGGACATTCTCCAAAGCAAAAACGTTAAAAAAAAAAAAAAGCCACCCCAAGGACGTTAAGTTGTGGGAGAAAGAAGACACGGGGCACGTTGATAAGAGGCAACTGCTAGTGTCTAGAACACAGCGGGATACCCAACCGAGAGTTTGGGAAAAAAAGAGAAAAAATCCTTAAACAGAGATTGTACTGAGGCCCCTCGGGGGGAGCGGGACTCTCCCAAGGATGATGAGGACCCTGATACCAGGACTCTGTAGCAGGTCAGAAAGGGTGGATTCACTCAGGCCAGCCCACAACACTTTCAAAATCTGCCCGTTTACCCTAGAAACAGGACTCTTTCAAAATCTGGGCAACAGGTAAATTCATCTCACTGATTAGTCCATACTTTCAAGGGTCTTACGAAAATACGGGGCTGGAGGGATAGCACAGCAAGCAGGGTGTTTTCCTTGCACACGACCGTCCTGCGTTCCATTCCCAGCATCCCATAAGGTTCCCTGCGCAACGCGGGGAGTAATGCAGAGCCAGCAGTAACCCCAGAGCATAGCCAGGTGTGCCTCCCCTGTCTCTCTCTCTCTCTCTCTCTCTCTCTCTCTCTCTCTCTCTCTCTCTCTCTCTCTCTCTCTCACACACACACACACACACACACACACACACACACAGAAAAAGTAGCTGGACGATGGCCAAATAAGTTTTGGATTGATAAGAGTCAGTCTCACCAAGAGAAGTGGAAGCTAGTTCTGTGTTTTTTGGTTTGAGGGCCGCACTGTATTGCAGTTAGGACTTCTGGTGGATCTTGATGATCTATATGCAGGGTATTGAACTGGGGTCACTGCCATCACGGCAAGAACCTTACCCATTTTACTCACTGAACTATTACTCTGGCCGAAGAGCTATATTTTTTAACAAGGGTCCAAGTAATTAGGCTCACTGAAGAACATAGAACTATGATTCAGAATTGTTTTTTTACTTGATAGTTTACTGAGTTGTCCCTAAATTGAATGGTAAAACATAGCACAAGCAAAACCTCATCCCTAGTATTTCATAATGAAGTAGGAAAGAAGATTTCAATTTCAAAATATACAATAAATTTAGTATTATGAAATACCATATCATTCTTTAAAAATTTTATCTTTGATTATTATTGATTTACAAGAATGAAATGTTCATAGTTTTTGGCTACTGTCACCACATTGTAACTCCCATGACAACAAAAAAAACAGCTTTTGTTTCTGTTTTACTAATCTTTTCTAATTAACCCCCCCCCCACACACACACACATACACATACACATTCTTTTGAGGATTAGGCCCATATTCTAAACACTATCAGTTGCATGATTTTTCTGCTACTTTTTTTCTTACTATTTCCATATGTATGGTATCTATAAAATAATATTTTTATATTAGATTACTAACAATAGAAGTGCTTTTAATTTTTAGTGAAGCAAAATAGTTTTTATTGACAGAAATTTAGAGAGATATGAGGGAAGAGAAAGGAATATGTTCAAGATAGGATACAGGCTTGGGGAAAAAAAGTCATTAGTATTTTCACAAAACGTGGCATGACTCTGTTGAGAAGTAATGCAGTTCATATTTGGGGCAGGGGGCAGGGGTTTGGGTGTGGGGGGAGGACAGGACTGTCTCCCAAGAAGTGATCATGGGACCAAGGACCATTGTCACCACCTGGCCCATGGTTCAATGCCAGAAACCAAGAAACTCAGATCTGGAGAAAGAAGATGCTGATCTGGTTTTCACTGCCAAACCCTTCAGTGTTTGGAGTCCTCTGGGATAGCATATGTGACACAAAAGTGGGAAGTTGGAGTGCCAGGTGAATTTATAATTGGTCAGTTTAAATCTCACCCCATTGTAAAGATAATCAATCAAAATAGATAATGGGTTGCCTGGGTATGGGGTAAAATGGCAGATAAAAGGAATCCTTAAGCCAGCCAGCCAGACTGAGTCTCTCTCTCTCTCTCTCTCTCTCTCTCTCTCTCTCTTCTCTCTCTCTCTCTCTCTCTCTCTCTCTCTCTCTCTCTCTCTCTCTCTCTCTCCTCCCTCCTCTCTCCTCTCTCGCACTGTCTCCCACTCTCCCTCTCTCTCAGGTGCCTGAAAGTGTGAAGTGTGTACAGGGTCATACCTGATGGCTCTCAGTGCTTGAGGGCTGCACCATGGGATGATCAGAAAACTGCCATGTCCAATATCTGGCCCTTGAATCCTACATTCCTTAAAGGAAGTCATACTTCAATTTATGCCACATTCATTTTGGGGTGTCATCCTATAACCAATCTCTGTTGCCCCTCTCAAACAACATGTACTATTCTCATTCTCATCAAATAATTACAAATATTGATCAAGTTCAATAATGTAACAATTTGAATTCTTGGATACATATTACTGTCCATAATCTGGATGCATTAGGTATTTTCATGCTTACCTTTTATAACCTTTTGGCTGGCGGTTTTTTACTCTTCTACCACGTCAGTGAGTACTTTTATCCTAGAATTTGCTTGTAATATACATACCATGGGGGAGAAAAAATATGTGTCCTTCCCTTTCAAATTATTACATTGAAGCCATAAACATAAGCATGATCGCGCTAGATATCAAGTGATTTAAAGGGACTTAGGTTTAGAAATAGTTTTTCAGGTTAAGATCTCTTTATGGGATAGTGCCCACAAAAGAGAAGACACCAGGAAGCATATTTCCTCTCTCACTCTTCCATGTTTGTATTACAGTCGTTTGTAAAACAGGAAGAGTGTCCTTGCTGGGGAGCTCAGTTGGTCAGCACCTCTATCTTAAACTTCCTAGCCTCCAAATCTTTAAAAACTAAATTCCTGTGATCCGAGTTCAATTCCTCTGCCCCGCTCGGAGAGCCTGGCAAGCTACTGACAGTGTCTCTTCCACTCGCCCGCACCGCAAAGTCTGGCATCCTACCCATGATGTATTCAGTATGCCAAACACAATAACAACAAACTTCATAATGGAGACGTTACTGGGCCCGCTTGAGCAAATTGATGAACAACGGGAGGACAGTGACAGTCACAGTGAATTTTTTTTACTGTGTGTGTGTGTTTTTTTTTTCAAAGCTTTATACTTAAAGTCAGGCATTTTGTCACTGAGCCATGTCTACAACCACTGTTTTTTCTATCTTTTTTTGTTTGTCTTTGGGGGGCCACACCCAGCAATGCTCAGGAATTACCCCAGGCAGTGTTTGGGGGACCATATGGGATACCAGGAGTCAAAACCGGGCAGGCCTCATGTAAGGCAACCTCCCTACTGCTGTAATATTGCTCTGGCCCACCCTTCTTTTCCCCTTAACACACTTTCCTGTTTTCCTTTAGTTTGGGGCCACACCCAGTGGTGCTCAGGTGCTTCTGCCAGTTCTGTGCTGGGGCGACCAACTGGTGCCAGGGATGGAAATGGGCCTCCAATTGCAAAGCCTATTGAGCTGCTCTCTAACCTCTTCACACAGTTTCTGTGAAATAATCCCTTTAGTGGTCCTGGAAAGGTGTACTGGAGGAGGACAGCCGGTGGCAAGGCAGTGGGGTTTACATTAGCAATTCACAACTGCATGTCATAAATGACTGAGATTAGAGATGGAGCAATAGCACAGCAGGGAGGGCTTTTGCCTTGCAAGAGACCAACCAGGCTAACCGGGGTTTGATTGGTTTGATTCCTCCGCTCCTGCTCGTCTTGGAGAGCCCAGAAAGCTATCGAGAGTATCTTGCCCGCAGGGCAAAGCCTAGCAAGCTAACTGTGATGTATTCGATATGCCAAACAAAGTAACAAGTCTCACAATGGAGACATTTCTGGACCTGCTCAAGCAAATCAATGAACAAAGGAAGGACAGTGCTACAGACAATAGCTTTCATTATTCTCAGTTATTTGGATTAAAAAAAAAACTATCCCTCAAAAGTTTATGCGTTACCTTGTATCCGCTGAAATCAAGACAATTTAACTGTCTTATTTCTTTTACACTTTTTGCTTTTGTTTTTGTTTTGTGGTTATAGCTGGTAGGGCTGGGGATATATATATATATATATATATATATATATATATATATAAAACATATATCTAGTAGACTGAGCTAGTCAAAACTCATCAGGAAATAATATTTGAAAAATGTTGGAACAATTAAATTAGAAATAAGAAGGATTTGGGTACTTTCTTTTTAATGACAAAACTTAAAAATAAAAACTGTTGTTTAAAAAAGCTGATACTTATGTGTAGGTTTAAAAATATGCAAAAATACAATAATTAAGAACAGTGGGTTTGATAGTAGGATATACCTGTTTTTGATACATACCACAACCCTGTAACCCCAAATTGAGATTTCCTTTGATTACACCTTGAAACTAGTTTTCTCATTTGTAAAAAAGGGAGAAAAGTGTTTGAGTTTATGAAGTACTTAAACAATGAGTCCCAGGTATAGTCAGTGCTATTTAAAATCTTCATTTCAGTTTATTTACCTGTTAATCTACTCTAAAGATAATATGCAGCCCCTTTCCAGATATGGTTATTATTTGACAGTTTTCATTAAGTTTTTGACTTTTTTAAATTTATATTTTGTAAGTTCTATTGCTGAAGTGTTTGGTTAATCATATTTTGAGCTTGGTGTTTGCGAATATTCACTACACAGCTCTCAGTGAGCATGGTTTATTTTCTCAGAGTAGATTTATTAAGACCATGAAGAA